TGAGGGGCAGAGCTCTCCCGCCCAGAGCCAAGCTCCAGCTCCCTGCACACACTGGGGAGGGTCCCAGAGCCCAGGACCCCCCGGGACCCCCACCCTGGCCGTACCTGTGGCGCAGGAGCAGCGTCCTCATGACATCGTCCCTGTCCTGTGGCTTCATCTGCCCCTCGTAGATCAGCTGGTCCAGCAGGATGTGGACGATGGCCGGCAGCGAGTTGGCCTCCACGTCGAGGAGGATGGCGCCTGTGGGGACAGCACTGTCACCATCCGGCCAGCACAGGGTCCTCTCCACCCTCCTGGTGCTCCCCGGAGCTGTCCCCACCTTTGCTCAGAGCCCGGCGGATCTCCAGGAGGCTGTGGTAGGTTAGGAAGGACAGATGGGGCTGGCTCCAGTCCCCCGATTCCTGGAAGTCCTCCTCCAGGCTGAGCCAGTGGCCGGCCTCCATCCAGCACAAGTCCTTTGCATTGTCCAGGACCAGCTCGTGCAGCTCCACGTACCCCTGCAGCCAGAGATGGAGGGGTCAGGGTGTCCCGGCCACACTGGGACCCCCAGGACACTCAGCATCCCCCTCTGTGCCCTGTGAGCTTGGTCCCAAGGTCACCACAGCCCACCCAGCCCCAGAATGGGGAGGCAATGGGGGTCCCTGGGGCAGCACCCACCTCATGGCTGTCCGGCTGGGACAGGAGCCTCCTGCTTCCTGCTGCCTCCAGGTCCACATCGGCCACTGACACAGCTGCAAGTGGAGCCACCAAGGCGTCAGCCAGTCCCTGCCCCAGCCCAAACGCCCTGCTTGAGGGTCTGCTTGAGGTGTGTCTATCATCACACCCATCCCAGCCCCTTTGGGGTCACCCCTTGTCCATCATCCCCACCCCAGCCCTGCTGGGCACTGTGGATGTGCCCCCCGTGTTGTCCCACCCCAGGCCCAGCTGGAGTTTGCTGGATGTGCCACTCTGCCGTCTCTCGCCCTGCCGGTGCCCACCTCGGTCCCTCACATCCACCCTGGGGCAGGGTGACAGCCTGGGGACATCCCGGAGCCGGGGTGAGGACAGGGCTCATGGCACAGCCCCAGCACCGAGCACCGGAATGGGGACACGGGGA